AACCCTTCTAGGCAGAGCCTAAGTAGGGAAAATGGCATGTCTTCCTTTGTGGAGTGGATCGTAAGTCCCCGGTGGCGGATCCAAGCCATTTGCGAGCAGTTACTTTGCGAGTAATTAATGGAGCGCGCTTGTCGACATACACACACGCCCACACGCTCTGCCTCCTCGGGATCCCGCCGCGACCAACGAACCCCGCGGCCGAGGCAGTTGGCTACGAGATCAACCCGTACCTGTGGTGGGGCGGCGACCGCTTGCGCGATCCTTCATCCTCGTTCCCCTCTTCCCCCCTCCCCTGTCCTCCCCGCCCTCGTTCCTCCCAACCCCAGTTCTCGCCCTCCCGTGAGGCAACGCCCGGCGCGCGGAGCTGGCACACCACTGTGGCACTGGCAGGGCCCGTCTCCCCTGGCCGCCGGGTGATGGCAGGCACCTTGTTCGGCGGCGTGCCGGGGGGGGGCGAGCGAGGAGGAGCAGGCCTTCTCGGAAAGCGGCGGGGCCTGTCGGAGGCCATCGCGCCTTCGTCGAAGTTTTCTACGCCTGCGGGGAGGCTTCGACAACTGCTCAGAAGGCCGGCGGCCTTCCGAGCCTCCTGCTGAAGCCCGTCTTCCCGGACTTCCCCCCGCGCTCGCCGCAGGCGCGCTGTGGTGCTCACAAGTGGCAATGTGGTGTTCGCCGGCTACTGTTTCAATACTTGCGCTTCGACGTCGGCGGCGCTGGCGCTGGCTGACTCCAGCCTGCGGCCAGCTACGAAAACATCCTGCTGCAAAAGTGGCCAGCTGTTGCTTCCAAGAGCCCCCTCCTCATTCCCCTCCTCCTCTCCTGCTCCTCCAGCTGTTCCTCTTGCGCGTTCTCTTCGTCGTCCTCCTCCTGCTCATCCTCAGTGTCTCATCGTCCTCGTGGTCCTCGTCAACGTGCTCTTCGTCGTCAGCCTTGCCGTCGCCTTCTTTGTCGTCCTCGTTGTCATGGTCCTCGTCGTCATCGTCGTCCTCGCTCTCGTCCTCCTCCTCCTCCTCCTCCTCCTCCTCCTCCTTCCCCCCTCCTCCTCATCGTCTCCTCCCCATCGTCCTCCTTGGTCTCCTCCTCTTCGTCCCCCTCCTCCCTGTCGTCCTCCTCGTCCTCGTCTTCCTTTACTCCTTCTCGTCTCCTCCTCCTCCTAATTCTCATTCTCTTCCTATTTCTCCTCGTCGTATGTGTATTCCTCATCGCTCTCCTCCCCCGCGTCCTCCTTGTACCCTCGTAGTCAATCCCTTTTTCATTCTGAGTACCTCCTCCCTGTCGCACCCCGAAGCCAGTCGGAAGGGCGGGCCCAGCGTTTGGCTTGAGACTTCTTTGCGATGTATGGGCCTCAAGCTTTAAACAGTGACAACGGCTTCACAAATGGACTTCAGGTCGCTTCCAAAATGTGGATCTCGCCTCAGCGCTGCGCACATTCGTGTCAACAAATTGCCAGAGCTTCACACATTCAGGGCGGGAGGTTCTCTAAATGTCGCCTTAGCGCCGCACGCATTCGTTTGCAAACTGTGCAAAGATTTCACGGACGGACGGCGATTCTTTTTCAACATGTGGCTCTCGTCTTAGCGCCGCGCACATTCGCTTAACATATAGCATTTCAATGGTTCCCATGGTTACCGTACCAGACATGGCATGTTAGAACGATTCACAAGTGTCAGGACGCACCAGTTACGTGGTTTCGCGGTGGTGGAGTCCCAGGAATGGCGTTCTGGCGAGATTCAGGATCTTCCAGACGCAACAGTCAGGTTGACTCGTGGCGTTAAGGATAATCAAGCGGTAATTCTCCAACGTGGAACTCCCCTCAGTGGAAATGAATATTTGTAGGGGCCTTGAAGAGGGAGCTTGGAGGGAGGGTCTATTGCAATATCGTTAATGAGTCTTGGGTTTACACTGGTCCTCCTCCTCCTCCGTCTCCCCTCGCAGGCTACTGCCGCACTTGTAGGATCTGGCAGGCTCTTGCACACGCCTGTGGCGCTCGCAGGCTATTGCGGTCGTGGCAGGGTCACGCTTCCCTCGCCATATTGTCGTCACCAGCGCACTGTGGTGCTCACAGGCACCCTGTGGTGCTCGCAGGCAATTAGTGCGATCACAAGAAATTCATTGCGCTCAGAGGCAGATTGCGGGGTTCGCAGGCTGCTGTGGTACGCAAAGGGTCCATCATACTGGTGCGCATGCTTGTGAGACTTGTGTCATCGCAGGCATTAGAGGTCAGTCCTGGCAGGTTGCCCCACTCCTCGCGCTAACATGGTGACGACAAGGCCTGGCACGCTGCTACGCACGCTGTCGCACGCATGGCTGTTGTGCACCTGGCAGTATGTGTTTCCCCTATCCTCGCCGTCCATTGGTCACAATCACGCGTCGTGCTCGTGAGGCATACGGTGTTGCGCTCGGGCGTCACGTCCGAGCCTTGCTATACCAGGCTCAGGTGCGAGTGCTGCGGTGGTGCTGGGGGCAGACTGAGCGGGGAGAATGCGGGAAGGAGCGTCCCGCTTTGCCCCCCTCCCCCGACCAAAACGCGACCTCGTCGTCGGCGACGTCGCGCTGCAGAGTCCGCCAGGGGGGAGGAAAGTGCCGTGGGATTCGGGGCGCACGCGACGGGGGCCAGCGCTAACAGGGTCAGCCCACCCCCTCTGGCTGATCCAGATTTGGGAACCACGTGGGGCAGATGGTGCAGGCCTGACGGCCGGTGCCGCCGACCCTGAAAGACATCGACGACGACCAGGAGGGGGAGGAGGAGGAGAAGAAGGAGGAGGATGAGAAGGAGGCGGAGCTAAGGAGGAGGAGGAGGAGGAAAAGGAGGAGGAGGAGGAGGAGGACAAGGACTCCCCCCTGGGACGTGGGGCAGAGTTCCCTGTTCCGCCCGAGCTGCGCGACGGAGCCCTGGCCGACCCGGGCGCTTCCCTGGCGGGGCCCCCTGGCCGTGACCCGAGGGACACGGGGCGGCTTGTCGCGGCTGCACCGGCGAGGTGTTGGTATGGTGGACTGTAAATGGCCGGTTTGGTTTAGAAAGAATAAAAGAAGAAGAAAGAAATAATAAAAGGAAGAAAAGCGCCGAAGACATCCCCCGACGCAGACTCCTCCTCTCCTCCTCCTGCTCATGATCCAACTGAGACGCGAATAAGATGGCGCAGACCGGTGAGAAAGAAGAAGTCGAAAAGCCCGGCGGGCTCAGCCTCCCCAGCGGGGCGCATTATGTTCTCCCTCATTCTCCCTCTCATCAGCAAGTCCTCATCTCTCCTGCCTCCTCCTCCTCCGCCCTCCTCATCCTCCGCCCCCTCCACCTGCCTCTCCCTCCATCTCTCCTCCTCCTCCTCCTCTCCTCCTCCTTCCTCTGCCTCTCTTCTCCTCCCTTTTTTTTTCTCCCCCTCCTTCTCCTTCTCTACTGCCTCCTTTTTCTCCTCCCTTCTCCCTCCCTCCCCTACTCCTCCCTCCTCTTCCTCCGTCCTCCTCCGCCTCCTCTCTCTCCTCCTCCTCCTCCTCCTCCTCCCTCCTCCTCCTCCTCCTCCTCCTCCTAGCCTCCTCGCCTCCTCCTCATCTCCTCCTCCTCCTCCTCCTCCTCTCCTCCTCCTCTCCTCCTCCTCCTCTCCTCCTCCTCCTCCTCCTCCTCCTCCTCCTCCTCCCCACCCTCACAGTGAACGGTGTGAGCACAGTGGAGGCCCATGCCAAGGAACACCCTGCTTGCCTCCAGGGTGCCCTGGGTCTCTTGGTCTCGATGGCTCCGCCATGGACGGCGCGACGCTCCCGCACCAAAAGCCAGTGGACGCCCTGGGGTCTCGGGGCGGGGCTTCTTGTGGAGGGCGATCCGTGGGCTGGGCCCCCACCGTGTCCATGCGGCGCCCGCCTGTCCGCGGGGTCGCGCCCTGGAAACCCAAAACCGTGGTGGCGTGGATGTGGGCATGCTCTCTCTCTCTCTCTCTCTCTCTCTCTCCTTGTCCTCCTCCTTTTCATCCTTCTTTTCCTCCTCCTCCTCCTCCCTCCTTAGCCCCGCTTCCTTCTCATCCTCCTCCTTCTTCTCCTCCTCCCCCTCCTGGTCGTCGTCGATGTCTCTCTCGCTCTCCCTCTCTCTCTCTCTCTCTCTCTCTCTCTCTCTCTCTCTCTGCGCGAGTCGGCGGCGAGCCCAGGGGGGGGAGGCGAGAGGGGGCGGGCCTTCTCAGAAGGCCGCGGGGCACCTCAGAAGCCTTCCGGCCTCCTGAGAAGCCGCCTCTGTCTTTCAAGCAGTGCCTATACAGGGCTGCCAAGCAATGTTCTAAACACTTTCTGTGGCTTCCACCAAATGTCCTCAGAACATGTATGGCTGGGACCGGCTTGGTTTAACTCATCGGGTTTAGGTTCTAAGAATATTGCTTCTGTTCTTGGAGCATTTTGGGGTTCTAAGAGCATGTCGTGGTAGGCCTATAGGAATGCCGGGACGGTCGGTCCCTGCTCAAGTCTTCGGAGGAGGCCCTGGACACTGCTCGGAAGGCGCTGGGGCCTCTGAGAAGCCCCGCCGCCTTCCGAGAGGGCCTGCCCTCCCTCAGCTTCCCCGGGGGCCCACCGCCGAGATCTGGGGGCACAGACAGCCCTGAGATCAGTCGAAGACGGTATTTAGTGATAAATAGTGTAAACTAGCACGCCCTCCTCAGACGAAAAAAAGGAAGGGTGGGGGGGGGGGTCGGGGGAGGGGGGAGAAAAGGGGGGGAGGGTGGGGCGGGCGGGGGTAGGGCGAGGGATGCGGATGGCTTGAGGGGGGGAGAGGGTGGTTGAGCGGCTAGGGAAGGTGGGGGGAGGGAGGAGGGGCCCGGCGGCTTGAGGGAGACACGCACACACGGGGGGGCGTGGGCGGGGGGGATACCCTTCGCGGGTAGTGGACATCCTTTGTTTCTTCATTATCCCCATTATCCTTTCCCCCCCTCTTTCTTATGTTTGTTTTTCTATCTGTTTATTTTTTATCTTCTTGCCTCTTTCCTCCTCGTTTTTTTCCTTTTCCTCCTCCTTCTCATCCCCTCCTCTCCTCCTCTCCTCCTCATTTAGGGGCCTCCTCCCTCCTCCTCTTCCTCGACCCCTGCCCCTCCTCCAACCTAGGACAACCCTCCTCCCTCCCCCTCTCCTCTGCTCTCCTGCTCCTCCTCCTCCTCCTCCCTCCTCCCCATCCTCCTCCTCCTCCTCCTCCTCCTCCTCCTCCTCCTCCTCCTCCTCCTCCTCCTCCTCCTCCCCTTCCCGCGTCCGTTGTCGAGCCAGATCGACCCGGGAGGGCCCCGGGGCCGAAAGAAAAGGAGGCGAAGACGCCGGGCCCGCAGACATGCGAGGCGCCAGGATAGCTCAGGGAGGCGCTCCTCCCCCTCCGGAGACGTGCGCAGGCTCGCCACGCTGCCCTGCCGCCTGCCTTGTTTCGATTTTCCCCTGGGCTCGCCGCCGAGATCTGGGGGGCACCACGCCCAGCCCGAGGAAGCTGAGGCGCCAGGATATCTCAGTGAGGCTCTCCTCCTCCCGGAAGCAGGCGAAGACGCCCAGCCCGACGAAGGTGAGGCGCCAAGACCTCTCGGGGGCTCCCCTCCTCCCGAAAGCAGGCGAACACGCCCAGCCCGAAGAAGTTGAGGCGCCAGGATATCTCAGGGAGGCCCCCCTCCTCCCGAAGTTGTGCGCAGGCTCGCCGCCCGTGGTAAGTCGGGCCTGTCCCTCTACAGGAGGAGTGTTCAGAGATAGTCCAAGAACAGCCTGGGGACGACCTTTCTACTACTTTGGAGCATTTTTGGAATATGTGTTTTTTGGGGGGCGATCTTTTTTTTATTTTGGGACAATTGTTCATCTGTCGTCCAAAATCGGCCTGCAGGGGGACAGGCCCCGCCTCACGCTCGTGAGAGACAGGGCGGCCGCCTCGGGCAGGGGCCTCTCGCGGCTGCGCTCGCTGCGGGGCGCGCCCGGCGCGGGCTCCGCCGAGCTGCGGTGGGCCAACGCCTGGACCGCGGACCTCCGGGAGGCCCCGCGCACCGCCGGCGCGGTGGAGGGGGCAGTGCGTGGCGGGGAGGGAGGCCCATAGGCCCTCTTCCGGTCAGGCCGGGTCGGCTTGTGCGCCACCAGCGCCGCCAGAAGCTGGAGGGGGGGAGGAGTGGGAGGAGGAGGAGGAGGAGGAGGAGGAGGAGGAGGAGGAGGAGGAGCAGGAGGAGGAGGAGGAAGAAGGGGGAGGAGGGGAGGAGGAGGAGAGGTAGGAGGAGTGGGGTAGGGAGAGAGGAGGAGAGGAGAGGAGGAGGAGGAGGAGGAGGAGGAGGAGAGGGGGGAGAGGGAGAGGGGAGGAGGGAGGAGGAGGAGGAGGAGGAGGAGGGAGGAGGAGGAGGAACCCTCCCCCACGCCAATTCTGGTAGCACAGAGACGGCTCGGATGTATAATATGATCCCCCAGTCCATCCACAATGCTGAGCCACGGTGGGAATGGTATTTCGCTTTTGTTCGGCTATGCCCCCCCCCCCGTGCGCCCTTGCTGGGCCTCGGGACCGCCAAAAAACGACTCAGGATGAAAGACCGGTCCCAGGGAAAGGGTCGAGATTTCTGGGGACCGAAGTTAAGAACAAATCATGACATCGGGGTTCGTGGGGGGACAGGCGTCGAGAGACGGAAAAAAGTACCCATACCGCCACCCCGTCCCTCGGTTTTGCCTTGCTGGGCTTCCTGGGCGGCCCTCGTCGCCACCGCTGGATTCGCATGGAAATCCTTTTTAGAACGCACCCCAGGAGAGGTCTGGGGAGTGGCGGTATCGGCACCTTTTGGTCACCCCGGGCACCGGACAGCTGAGCGACTCGACACCAGGCCGGTTACGCGGGCACTCGCGCGCAAGCCGCCTGCGCAGGGTGCAGTTCGATCCGCCTGGTCCGATTCGACGATAAGATCGGCCAGCCCGATCCCAAGCGATGCGGCCCGCTGCTTTCATGGTGCGGTCGCGCAGCCCGGCGCGGCCGGCCCGAGTCGATGGTGCCGATCTCATGCCGACGCGACCCAATCCGACGCGCATGTCGAGCCGATGCGATCTGGCGCCGTCCGTTTGGTTCGCGTCACACGGCTCTGCACTGGAGCGGCGGTCTTGGCCAGCACGGAGTCACGCAGCCCCGTTGGGTCAGGGGGCCAACACGGGTTCACACCAGCACTGTTGGGCTCTCCCTAGGGTTCCCCCCGAGGGCTCCCGAGAGGGGTCACACAGCGTGCCCGCCAAGAGGGGTGTGTGATTGCCGCGAGTTGGCAACGCTACAGAATGAACACGGATATTTCTCGATTCGATGCTGACTTGTCTTGCCCGCGCAAGGTCGCGCATGGGCGCCCTAATTTCCACGCGGCGTGCCCCGCCTTGCGGGAAGCGTAAGCCACCGCGTGTGGTTGTCACGCCCTCTCGTGTGAGGCCCCGCCCCTTTCTTTTTGTCGCCCAGCTGCTGCGATCGGAGGCTGACGGTGTTCCAGGCCTCCCAGATTGAGTCGGGGTAGATGGTGCCGCATCGCCGATGCATCATCGATACGGCGCGATTTGGAGCCCGACTTTCTTCAACCAGACGTTGCCGATGCATCGGCGAGGCGGTGCTATCGCCCCACCCTAATTATCTACTCTGGCCCTCTGCGGCGCGGAGGTTCGACCTCTAGAGGTTTGACGCTCTTCCCTCGTCTTGGGCCTCTGGGAGGGCCCTCGTGGCCGTGGCCATGGCTGGACGCAGCTCGAAGCCCAGGATGGGCCCTTGGAAGGGTCCAGGAGGGATCCAGGGACCTGCCTCAAGCGGATTCCGGTGGGGAGGCAGCGCGAGAAGGGTAGTTCTGAGAAGGCACCCTGCCTCCTCCGGGCCTGGTGATTCTCCAGGAAGCCTCCTTACAACCTCTTGGCGAAGCCCTCCTGCCTCGCTGTGGAATAAGCATCCCACAAGGTTTGGGACAGTTTTCGGCATCTGGGGGGCCCGCGCCGGGCCGCGGGACTGCCGACAAACCACGCAGGATGGAAAAATACGCCCGGGTGAAAGGGTCGAGACCTCTGGGGTTCCACGTGTGCGTGTGCGCGTGCTTGTGCGTGTGCGCATGCGTGTGCGTGTGCGTGTGCGTGTGCGTGTGCGTGTGCATGTGCGCGTGCGCGTGCGTGTGCGTGTGCGTGTGCGTGTGCATGTGCGTGTGCGTGTGCGTGTGCCTGTGCGTGTGCGTGTGGGAGTGTGTGTGTGTGTGGGTGTGTGGGTGTGTGGGTGTGTGGGTGTGTGAGTGTGTGAGTGTGTGAGTGTGTGAGTGTATGTGTGTGCGTGCGTGCGTGCGTGAGTGCGTGCGTGTGTGTGTGTGTGTTCTTTCGCCAGCGCAGTGACCCTGCCTAGCCGCCGGCGCAAAAGTGTCTGTGTGTGTCTGTGTTTCTGTGTGTGTGCTGTGTGTTTGTGTGTTTGTGTGTGTGTCTCTGTATCTCTTTGTGTATGTTAGTGTGTGCGTGTGTCCGCGTGTGTGTGTGTGTGCTTGTTTGTTGTTTGTGTTTGTGTGTGTTTGTGTGTGAGAGTGTGTGTGTGTGTGTCGGTGTGTGTCGGTGTGTGTCGGTGTGTGTGTGTGTCGGTGTGTGTGTGTGTGTGTGTGCGCCACGACATCGGGGCCTGGGAAATCCATTCCCCAGGCAATGCTCCGTTGTGCGCACCGGAGGGCATAGCCGGATGCGCATCATACACTTGTTGCATATGGCCTTCATCGTTGGCTCTGTTTATGTCAGCCATTGCTGTCCCTGGCTGGTGCCATCATCGATCATGCATAAGAATCGTGAGGCATGAACTCAATCGGAAACGTGTGGGAGAGTTGTCTCAAGCTCGCTATTCTGCAACAGTGGTCGCATCGCCATCAACCGAGGCAGCAAGGTACTCGTGCAGTTTGAGTTTACAGTGGCAGTCACAGTTGCGCACCATTTGTGTCCTTGGCGATCCCTCGCACTAGGGTGATCCAGGTCGACGTCGTGACGTTTTACGGCCGCCCTGGAGACGGCTTGATGGAGAAGGCTGCCGCAAAGTGCGAGGCCCGCAGCAAGTTGCATGGGGATAAGACGCTGTTGCCGCTGCTTCAGTCGCGTAATGTTGTGGGTAGTACGGCGTGTTTCCCGCGGGTAAACGATGCAACATCCGCGCTGGATTGTGACGTGAGAGTGGCGATGAGGATTGGGGAGTGGGAAAACACGCCCGTGGTACGCTTGACACCCCCAGTAGTCACCTCAGCGTGGGAGCAGGAGAAGGAGGGAGAGACAGAGATCATGAGGAGGAAAGAGGAGGAGAAGGACGAGTAGCAAGAGCGAGTTGAAGGGAGGAGGATGAGGCGGAGGAGGAGGAACACGAGGAAGGGAGGATAGAAAGGGGTATCGAGCGGGAAATCAGGTGGGACCGATTTGAGTGCAGAGGACGTGGAGGCCGTGGACAGCGCGAGTTCGGTGCCTGCAGGGCGTTCAATGGCGAAGGAATGCACGTACGAAGGAAATGGGGAGGTTCGGCGAGATTCGTCGATGTAATGAAAGACCTCAAAGCGTATCTCGACGCCCTCGCGGGCCCTTCACAGACACCCAGGCCGTCTGCGCCAGACTGGATACGACTGAAATGAGGGGGGAGGAGGGAGTGCAGGTGTGGCCCGTTTGCATGGCCTAGTATCTCCGGGTGCGACAGAAGGGGGGTTAGCCTACACGAAAAGACCCAGACCCCCCCTTCATAGTCGATGGAGAACTGATGAAGTGCCTCTTAGGTCATCTGAAGATCTTCCATGCAGGGCTGGACTACAGGAAGAGACCCGGACCCCCCTCCGTCAGACGCACACAAACCCGCACCTAGACGGCGCATTGGCACAGAAAGAATACGAACGCGCACATGCAGGAATTCATAATACGGAAAAACGTCGAAAGCGATTCTGCGTGCAGGGCGAGCAGGTGTGCAACCACCAGAAGCTTTGTGCCGGTGACCTGCTTCTCGGATATCTGCAAACGACGCGGGGACGGGGGAACCAGGAGGGGTGGAAGGAGACGGATCCGCGCCGACCTACAATGCACAACATTTCTCTAAGGCTTCATGCCACCTTGACTGGTTTTGCAAAAGCGCTTGTAATTCGTCCAGGCCGTTCCCTGCCGCTTCGAGGGCCGCTGCGTGCATGGAACTTGTCCGTCGCAGACGAGGGCGCCCTCGGGACCGTGAAAAATCCCACTTCCGGGGCGAGACAACACCATCTTGGCCATGATCAAACACCATAGATCTCGGTAGGCTGTTGGGGCCGTCGAGGGCAAGCTTGCCATATAACTTAAGCTGCCGTTCCAAGAAGGTTGCCGTCACACGCTGGACTCCTGCACGATCGCGAACTCCAGCGTTGCTCACTCGAGAGACGGAAGCAAGGGGAACTTTGAGTATTGACCGTAGGCATCTGGCCTGGAAGCTGTCGATCCTGGTTCTGTCCGCTTGCAAGAGCATGCACGATTCCAACCCGTACAGGAGTTTCGAAAAGACACATGAGTCGAGCACCCTCTGCTTCTGCTTTTTGCTGAGGTTAGCATGGCTCCAAACTCGGGCGAATTTCTGAAAGACTCCCTTGGATTCCCCCAGGCGCCGCGTAAGTTCTGCCCGGGACCTCCCATCGGTACGGATGAGCCCGCCCAGATATACAGCGTGATTTTTGCATGTGATTGCCTCGCCGTCTGGCCCATATATTGTCTCATCTGCCCGTACCTTCAGCAGCACCGTCTTCCCAGCATTCAACTCTAGACCGTACGTTTTGCTTACTTCTACTACCAAGTCCAACTGAGCTCGAAGTACATCAGGGTCCCGAGCAAAAAGCATGGTACCATCTGCGTAAAGGACATCCTTGGTAATCAGATATGGCTTAGCAGGCCTATGAGGAATAGCAATATCTAGGCGCACGTCGACACGTTGCAAGATAACGGACATGACGATGATGAACAAGTAGGGTGATAGATGGCAGCCTTGTGCAATACCAGCTGCTTGTGTTCTCTGTGACGTCGTCGTGCCCCCGTATTGCACCACAAACTGTCGCATCATATAAATGCCCCAGATCATGTCGACTATCGCCCGAGGGATTCGGAATTCACGAAGGGCATGTATGAGGCCTTCTGGATGTATACGGTCGAACGTTTTGCGCCAGTCCAAGCAAAAGGAGCAGCAGTTGTCCCTCCTTGTCTTCCAATGTTGCGTCAATAAGCCTGCGCGCCAAGAACAACGCATCACTGGTGCTGCGGTGAGCTCTGAAACCGTATTGGGATTCCCGCACTGCTTCGAGTGTCGATAGTTCGCCGGCTGGGACGTGTCACCTTTTCTTGAAAATGGTAACCACAGATGTTTCCCTCCACGCTTGCGGAATGTCCTTCGTCTCCCAGCATGTGCAACACAACGACGTCAATATGCTTAATGCCCCTTGGTCGCCGAGTGATGCTCGCCATAGCTCTGGTGGCACGCCGTCTGTACCCGGAGCACGTTGAGCACGCAAGTATCTTGTTGCCCTCTTCGCTCCTTCAATTGTGATGTGGCCGACTTCTACATGCAAATGGCCTTCTTGTATACCGTCTTCACCAAAATTGAAACCCTTCCTGGGGAGGGCGCCACTGGACCTGCTCAAGGTAATCTGCCACAGTGTCAGCCCTCTCGGAAGCGTCTACTAAACGACCCTCGGCGTCTCGGAGCCGTCCGCACCTAATGTGACGGTCCTTTGCTCGGTGATTTGATCATGTCCCAGCCGCTTTTCGAAATCCCCTCTGTGAGCCAGTGCTTCTTGTCTGCCTTCGCCGATTGTCGGAATAATTCATTCAGCTGGCCCTCACTCGTGCTACTCGATGCCGTTCCCCTCTGTCGCGCCTGGTTTCTCTCTTCAATCAAGTGGAGAGTGCGATATGATATCCAAGGGCGCAGGCGCGGTGTCTGCCGCGTTGGAATTCAGGCTGCAGCAGATTCCAACATACACCGTGATACTGCAGCGGCGTGTTCGTCGAGCGTGCCGCTCGCTGGCTGCTTGTGCCACTCCTCCAGAAAATGTGACATGGTTTTGTGTTTCGTGACCTCGTTCTGGAGCGACATCAAATCGTAATTCAGCTTCTCCTGTCTGCGGCACTTCTTCGGTATGTTGATGTTCAAATCGACGATCGTTACCAAGTGATGAGACTGGAGATGGTGATCGCGACAACTCCATACATCACAAATGCACGGCATCCCACTGCTTGCCACGACTACGTGGTCCAACTGCTCGAAATCTCCAGGTACGATGGCGCTGAACGGTTCGACGCCGATGTCGTGATACGTGACGGTATGCTCGTCCGGGTTTTCAAAGTACGTATTTGCTACAGGCTTCGAGCGTATGGCATAATTCAACCAGCAATTCACGGTTGGATGTGGGGCTCCACACAGAGAACGGATTACGGAAAACAGTTTCTATTATGACGTTTTCCTCGCCAGCGTATTGTTCCAGAAGCCCGGCGTTGAAATCTCCAAGTATAATGGTTGGCCCATGCTACCGGCATTTCTCAGCAAATATGCCAAGTCGGTGTCGTAGTCGCGTCGTAGATCGTAGTCGTGCGTATTTGTCCAAGCGTATGCAGTAATGAATGTAAGTGCACCACCCTCAATTCGAATGCGAAGACTTGCCATTCGACTGCTATGTTGTATGTAGCCCTTGATGGCGTGCTTCGCCAAAGGCAATACAATAAAACCCACTCCCGCATATTCTCGCGTCTCCTCCTCCTGCCCAGAGAGAATAACAAAGAATCCTTCAAAGTCGAAGACTGGTGAACCTCTGCAGTGTGTCTCTTGGAGACAAAACACTCCGATGTCCATGTCACGCATGTGCTTAGCTAATTCGTGCAATTTGTACGGCAGGTCCAGGTCAATGCTTTCGGCATTCCACGTTACTATCCGGCCGCACGTGACCAGCGAACATGGGAAGGTCACCCTTTTTCCCACCCGATCCGTGGGGCTGCCAATGCACCGTTGCATTTCCTATTCCGACTGCTTGCCGCCCTTCTTATTTTTTCCATGTCTTTTCGTAGCCCGGCCCAGCAAATCGTTCGTCTTCGTGGTAAGATGGTGAACTTCAGGATTGTTGGTCAATTCGTTCCAATCCTTCCATACACCTTCCTAGGATATCTGCAGCGTGCTGTTTGCGACCTGTACTTTCACGACGGCTTTTTTTTGTAACGGTGATGGCATAGTTGACGGTATCCACACGTACCTTTGCTCGACTGTATCCCCAATCCAGGACTTGCTTCCGTAGCCCGAAGAGAAAGTTTTGTGGAACTTGCTGCTCGAGAGGTTTGTCGTCATTCGTCCAGATGGTGCTCCCATTGTGTGTAAGCTGCGCCTTGCCAACAACGTTGACAAATTTATCCCAGGTATGTTTGTTATTCGAATTAATGAAAAAGATGCTCGTGAAGTCGCCCTTCGTGAAGATGTCTACGTACTCTGGCGGCTTGATAAATGCAAACTGCTGCTTCAGGAAAGCAACGGCGTCCTCCAAATGTGCAAAATCACCCAGTCCTCCGATCCACGTGTTGGTTCGTGGTGAGTTCCGTAACTTGTCGCTGGAGCACGTTGGTTTTCATCTCCATGAGGCTGTCCTTGCTTCGCGCAGACCCTGTGTCGACGGATGCTGGGTGCGACCTGTGGGCTTCGAGAGCTGAGACCTTGTCAGTAATCTCGTCGATGGCCGAACCGAGGGGCTGCATTGCGTCCCGTAGGTCTTGTTGAGAAACTCCGTGCTGCTTGATGGCCCGGATGTCTTTGTATATAGGTTGTAGTTGTTCGCGTAGTATGTGAGTGAATTGTCCAACGGTTAATCCGTTCATCTCCCCGACGATGGAGAACAGCGGCATTTCTACGGTCTTTTCTCTTCCTTTACATTCGGGTTGAGTGCCGTCGGCGTCTTGTTGGCGCGCTGGGTCTTGATGCTGCACTTCGCTGGTGATGCCCACGTCGTCCAACCTGTCCATATCCTGCAACGGGCTGTGGCTCCGATGCTGCTTTACCCTCCCCCAGTCAGACGCGGCGAAGATGGAGAAGCAAATTATGATTGAAGCGTATATTTGAAGAGCTGACCGGGGTGCCTGGTGCGCATGTCTTCCCACCACCAGAAGAAGACATCATCTTTGTAGAATCGCAGTGTAAGAAGAACCTAGGAGTACGCAGAAGGAGTGCGCTTCAGACTGGGAGCAGTGGGCGCGCAAAGACATAATCGCCGCCGCGACTTGAGCCCCTCCGTCAGAGCTGAGGAAAAGAACGTATGACGCGCCTCCTAGGCATCCGAATATCTTTTCAGGGGCGGCTGAAGATCTTCTCAGGGGGCTGAAGAGCTCCTTCAGGAGGCTGAAGAGCTTCTGAAGGCCTCTGGGGGTCAAGGCGTTCTGCATGTTCTCAATTTTGTTTGGTCACTGCCGGGCCTCCGGGGACGGCGACGACGACGACGACGACGACGACGACGACGACGACGACGACGACGACGTCGCAGCACGGTAACCAGTGAGTTCAAGAATAGGCACGCAGTGGCAGCAGGGGTCGATATCCTGGAGCCTCCAGCGTACGCGCGCGCGCCCCGATCCCCTGAGCGTCGGGCTGGACTCCAGGGGGGATCGGGAGAGGGGGGGGGAGGCAGTTTCCTCGACACATCGGCGCCTCTGGCGCTGGGAGGCGCAGGGGAAGTCGGCTACGTGAGCTAACTCGCTGCCTCCACCCCTTGCTGAACCCTGAGGCCCCCCTTTCGTCCGACCCGAGAGTGACGGAGACGGGATGTAACGAAACGTCGACCGAGGAAGAGGTGGCCCAAGACGACGACCATCTCCCTCCAGGCCGAGCTGCCGGCGCATGCCGCCGTGGTCAGCCACCACTTCCCCATGCCGGGCTGGGAGCGGCTCTTGGTGCAGGATCCGGGTGCCACGGGCAGATCACGGTGACTGGCTCTTCCAAGCGTGGGTTTTTGGAGTCGCCTCGTGCCTCAGGGCCATCAAGCATCGACCCCGCACGAAACACCAGGGGCGCTCCTGGGCATCGCTCGCACGTGCGCATTTTTTCTAAACGAGGACCATCGGAGAGCATCTTGGATCATCTTGCGAGAAGATTGAGGAGGAGGAGCAAGAGGAAGGCAGGGAGGAGGAAGAGGAGGAGGAGGAGGAGGAGGAGGAGGAGGAGAGGAAGAGGAGAAGAGCAGGAGAGGAGGAAGAGGAGGAAGAGGGGAGGAGGAGAGGAGGAGAGGAGGAGAGAGGAGGAGGAGGAGGAGAGGAGAGGAGGAGGAGAGGAGGAGATGAGGATGAGGAGGAGGAGGAGGAGAGGAGGAGGAGGGGAGGAAGAGGAGGAGAGGAGGAGGAGGAGGAGGAGGAGGAGGAGGAGGGAGGAGGAGGAGGAGGAGGAGGAGGAGGGCTGAGGAGGAGGAGGAGGAGGGAGGAGGAGCGGAGGAGGAGGAGGAGGAGGAGGAGGGAGGAGGAGATGAGGAGGAGGGGAGAGAGGAGGAGGGGAGGAGGAGGAGGAGGAAGAGGAGGAGGGGAGAGGAGGAGAGGAGGAGGATGAAGGAGAGAGGAGTGAGGAGGAGGAGGAGTAGGAGGGGGAGGAGGAGGAGGAGGAGGAGGAGGAGGAGAGAGGAGGATGAGGAGGAGGAGGAGTAGGAGAGGAGGAGGAGGAGGAGGCAGAGGTGGGTCGGTAGGAGAGTAGGGCAGTGAGGCGAGGAGGAGGGGAACGGGCGTCCGAGCGGTGGCGAGGCTCTGGAAGGGGGCCAGACTGTCGAGGGATCGCAGGAAAGTCGGTGCTTATTCCCCCCGGCGGCAGGTCGGCGGAGGCCGGCGGCAGTGGAACGGCGGCGGGCCCGCGAGCGGAAGCGGGTGGAAGGCCAGCGAATAGGAGGAGGGGGATGGGGAGGAGGAGGAGGGTGAGGAGGCGGGGAGAGGAGGAAGAGGAGCAGGAGGAGGTGGAGGAGGCGGGGAGGAGGAGGGGAGGAGGAGGAGGAGGAGGAGGAGAGGAGAGGGAGTGTCTTCGGGGGCGAGGAGGAGGAGAGGGGGGGGAGGAGGAGGGGAGGGAGGGGAGATGAGGATGAGAGTGAGGAGGAGGAGGAGAGGAGGAGGAGGAGGAAGGTTGGCGAACGTCGAAGATCGGGGCTCAAGAGACGGGGGTCCATGCAAACTCGAAGAAGAAAAAGCTACATAAACATAACTTTAGTCGCTCCGCGGGGATTTCTTGGATCCGCGCCTGGGCCCCCCCGGCGACGCCTCCAGCGCCGCCCCTGGCGCGTTCCGCGCGCCAGGGAGGGGGGTCCCCGGCGCGGATCCAAGAAATCCGCGCGAAGCGTCAACAAATTATGTTTATGTGTTTTTCTCTTCTTCCAGAAACGGGGGTTCAGCCAGAGCGCCAGATCTTGCAGGATCCTGCAGAGCCAGGGGCGCACTTGCCCGGGCATTCGCGCAGGATCCTGCAAGGCCCGACTGACCCAGGTTTGCATTGGCCCAGGTCAGTAGAGCCCCAAGACGGTGCGCCCGCCAAGAGACGGCAAGTATTGGTTCGAGATTTCCAGAGCCGGCCATCTTCGGACGGGGCCAGGACGAGGAGGAATCCGTTCCAGAGCGTTCTGGGGCGCTCTCGAAGCGTCTCGGAACGCTCCGAGAAGGCCGCGGCGCCCGATGCATCCCCCAGAGCCGCCCGACCTAAGAGGTTCTCGATGTATCCTCACCCGAACTTGTCCTCGTCCTAGGTTCATCCTGGGAAAGGTTTGGTTCAAGATCTCCAGGGCCGGCCATCTGGCCGCCGAGGAGTCGTCGAGAGGTCTGGGGGCCCGCTTCATGGAGGTGTCATGTTGTCGGATGCTTGGGGGTCCTCCGCCATCTGCCCATGCCGTTGGGAACGCACGGGGTTGTGCGCAGACAGCCCCCAGAGGCACTCCAGGCTGGCCTCAACAGGCCCTGGCGCTCGCCCGGGGGCCTGTTGAGGTCAGAGTGGGCTGCCGCTGGGGTGGCCTGCGCGCGAGCACAAGCCTTGCTATGAGCACATCGGCGTTCACGGTGTTTTTTCTCTGCGAAGGATTGCAAAAAAACCCTTGATTGCAAGGTTTTTTTGCAATCCTTCGTTCAAGGGAGGTTTTTTTTGCAATCCTAGGTTTTTTTGCAATCCTTCGAAGGATTGCAATCCAGGGTTTTTTTTTTTTTTGCAATCCTTCGTCACGGCTTAGATTTCCATGCGGCAATGCTCCTTTGTTGTTTGGGATGCGGGGAGAAGCGACGCAGTCTGGAGCAGACCCCAAGCCGTTTGTTTCTTCCTTGTCCCTCCTCCCCGTCCTCCGCCTCCTCAGCCCCGTTCTTCAGCAATTAAATACGGCTTTCCGACCGTCGTCTATGACGACCCCGTCCCCGACACGCACGTCGAGGCCCGTGCCCCCGCGGCCCGCCACAGGTGCGTTCGGCCCCGCTGCGTAGGCGGGTGGAGCGGACCCTGGGTACGCTGGGTTCCTCAACCTGTTGATGTGTTTCTGAGGTCTGTCCGCGAGCAGAAGGAGCGTGTGTCACCGTCGGTCCCAACATTTGCCCAAGCTCGGGTCGAAATAGGGCCCTCGAAGTTACGCCATCCTGAGCAAGTTGAGCAACTGAAAGAGGAAGAGAAGGATGGTGGACGCACACCCGCTGGCTGAGGTCAGTGTCCGTCTGTGCGTGGTGGCCCCAGGGTGGCGCATAAGTGCCATTCACGCCGCATGGTCCGCGAAATATGGTATGCGCCCCGCCGCCACCTCCGCCTCATCAGTCCCCGAGCGGCATTACATGGATGCGAGGGGAAACCACCACGCAATGTTGATGATGTAACAAAGAAGTATCCCATGCTGCCTCCTCCGCAGTGTTAATAAACACGCATTTGCTCTACATCCAGCGCTCGCTGAAAAGGTAAGGGATGAATTGGCATCCACGGTGGGCCCAAACATGTGTCCGAACGCGCATCAGTGATCGTAGTCAGACTCGACCGTATATGTTTGAGAGGCCTCCATCCACGATGTTGGCATGAACTGATTTGGCATGTGCGCGGCGCTTGAGCTAGAGCAATATTTCGAAAAGGAAACGACCTCTACTCATGTAAGTGATGCAATATTTCAGCTGAGGTATGCTAAAGTGTCTGAGGTGATGCAGTATGTCAGCCGAGAAATGGTGAAAAATGGTCGCCCTGGATCTGCGCAGCCGCTGCTAGTGTACAGCTGTATGACCACAGCACCATAAAGTACACGTCTCAGGCGATAAACACAATGAAAGCGACCCGATCGTGCAGCAGTTGGAAGATCAGACGTAAGACGAAAGTGCGCGGCGACAGGGCGATTGCAGCATGTTGAAAATGGCCCGCCAAACGACTCACCTCCGATGATTGATCCTGTTCATGTGTCTGGCAAATTGCCTTCCCTAGTGGCCTTCGGCTTGATACAGGTCTGGGCCGCGGACCAAATGGCTATTGGATATTCGTTGGGGCATCGTGGGAGCACCTCTCGGAGATTGGAGGCCTCTCGAGAGGGCCCATCGGGGCCTCTTTGGCGCTTCTTCGAGGCGTTGGGTGCATGTTAGGAGGTCTTGGGGGCCACAATTGGGGAGAGGCTCCCACGGTCCTTTCGCTTTCCCCTCTTTGGCCCCACCTGGGGTGCGCTTGGAAGCCCGTTGAGTCGTCCCGGGGCCGTCTCGGGGTTCTCTCGGGTGCCTCTCGGGCCGCGTTGCAGCGTCGGAAACCCGAACAGGCGAGAATGTTAGAATCTTCCCAACGCGCACGAGACACAAAACTCCGTCTCGACACTCTTCGGGCCTCGGTAAAAAAATCACCGGAGAAGCCCGGAGAGGCACGCGACACGCCTCAGGAAAGCCGTTTTGTGGGCTTCGGGGCCCGCAGAGCCTTGCACTCCTGAGCGCAGAATTCGAAGGAACGAAGGGACCTGAGGACACTCCGCTCAGGACTGGCTGGGTCACTCTCCGCGCTGCCCCGAGCCCCCGGCGGCGAGCGCAGATGCAGATGCAGATCACGGCCTACCTCCTCGGCATCGCGGTGTGTCAGGCCGCGGCCGAGCAGCGCGACGACTCGCGGGGCGCCCCGCCCACGGGTAGACCCCCAGATGCAGGCTGACGTGTAGCGCCCGGCTCTTGCTGGCACTGCGCGCGGCCGTGCCGCCGTGACCCGCTTGTTCTTGAGGGGCCACGGCCGGTCAGTTCAGTTCCATTATGCTGATCAGGGGAACGGCCGCCCGGACGCCTACCTCTTTCCATGCAGCGATCTTTCCACTCAGCGCCTCGCGGAACGGCGGTGGTTATGAATCTGGCACGTCCCAGGATAATTTCACTCGAACGCGCGTGGCCAGCAGGCTGGAGGGAGGGCACATGCAAGCCGAACGGGGGCAAACGAGGACGGTACGTCTTGGAACGCCCACTTGTGCTCCGCCCGTGCACGTACTGGGCATGTGGATGTCCAGGCTCGCATGTTCCGCGGAAGTTTCGGCGAAACGCCCGGCCCGCCCTACCGACACGTTTGTCTGGATGCAACTCCTGGGAGGTCAAATTCTGATTCAGCCCTGGTCCGAAATCCCGCTTAATCCGGCTTAATCCCGCTTAATCTGGCTTAATCCCGCTTAATCTCGCTTAATCCCGCTTAATCCCGCTTGATCCGAGGCCCACTCTGGCGTAACAGCCCCCCAATTGGGGCTTAATCCTCTTTAGTCCCTCCGACGAAAACCTCCCAGTGGTGCGACGCAGATCGCCATGAAGGAGAGCGGTCTTGAGGGTCCGTGGAGAGACAGACCCAGGACCCCCCTCCTCCATAGAGGCCTCTCAGATGGGGTCCGAGTAGATGGGGTCGGAAGATCGCGCCGCATCGCCAGTGCGTCGGCGATGCACTGGCGACGGCGGCGATGCATCGGGGAGGGGGAGGAGGGGGAGGGGGAGGGGGAGGGGGAGGGGGAGGAGGAGGAGGAGGAGGAGGAGGAGGAGGAGGAGGAGGAAGAGGAGAAGGCCAGGCTCCACATCGAGTTGCATCGCCGATGCATCGGCGTGGCGGAGCGATCTCTCGACCCCATCTACTCGGACCCTATTTTTCGGCCCCTCTCCTTCGGGCCCCGCTTCCCTCGGGAGGGACAAGTATACACAGGCACGAGTAATCGTCGACCTCGGGGAAGATATTGCAAACATGGGCAGCTGAAGGGAAGACGACGATGAAGAATTTCAGGATCCTGGGAGCTGTGTCTCTATGTATCTGTGTGTTCCTGGGCCCCTCCATTCCCTCGCGCCACAGCTGCTCGCAGGGGAGGGAAGAACAGCCACCCTGACCCCCATCATCGGCGTTTACCCTGTCCTTTCGATTCCTTCCTTAGGTGCGTTTGCTAAACGGCTTCGCTTGTCGGAGTGCTTCTTATTAGGTTGGTCGTTTTGCTCCCTAGCTTCCCTCGTCCGCCACAGCTGCCTGCCGGGGGGGAGGGGGGCCAGAGGAGGAGGGCTCGTGCGGCAGCGAACGCGGGAGCCAGCGCAGAACGCGCCAGGACGTCGGAGGCATCAAGCTGTACGACCTGTCGAGGCGCAGCAGCTCCAGGCTTGCCCGGCATCGGGGGGGGGGGGGGGGGCAAAGGTACCCCAGAACATCTTCCTCCCTGTGTTTTGTCCCCTGGGCTGAGCCGCAGTCGCACGCAGGCGTGAGGCGGCAGACGAGCCGCGGCGCGGCGCGCACGGCGGCCCGCGCGCACCCTGCTGGCAACGAAACTGACAGGTAGCAGGCGCACGGCAAGTAGAGGGATGGCGAGAGGATGAGGCGGACACACAAGCTCAGAGCCCCGAATCATCAGGGGTAACTCGGGTCAGGGATAACTCGGGTTCGTTTTTCGGGAATCCGAACCCGAGTTACCCCGGACCCGAGTTACCCCGGATAATTCGGGCGTCCAGGGCCCCGAATCATCAGGGGTAACTCGGGTCAGGGCTAACTCGGGTTCGTTTTTCGGGAATCCAAACCCGAGTTACCTCGGACCCGAGTTACCCCGGATAACTCGGGCGCCCAACAAGCAACAATACAAAGGAATGGTGGTGATCAAAGAGAATCGCCGCCACGCGCGCCGCCAGCAAGAGGCAGGTTCCGAGCTGCAGCAGGCGAGAGAGAGCGGCCAGATCACAAGAGCGCGAGCGCCCAGAGAGACACATGGGGGACGGATGGGAGTTGGGCGAGAGTGAAAGGCTAGCAGCACAGCTTGACCTGCACTTGCGGAAGCTCAACATCAGGCCGCAGCGGCAGGTGAGTCAGATGCCAAACCCTCGCCGTTACCACTCCCATCGCCAGTATGGGAGATATCCGCTTCCTTGACTTGAATGTGGAATCCACTGTGCATGCCGATCCACGCAGAGAAGCTGTCCTTGTCGAAATCCGTAAGCCCCAGGGGCAGGGTACGACCAACCGATCATTGGGTGCAGTACGCCCTATCAGCCCTCGGGGTATGTGAGCCCCAACCTCCAGCCTGACCGTCGGAGGCCATACCGGTTTGACGGGAGTGGCCCGCCCTCCCGTGTGCCTCATCCTTTCAAGTCTTTCTCCTCGGGCAGGTCGGCGAGCGCTGCGACAAACCTTTACTCGGTTGTACCCCTGGTACGCTCCTGCTTCACATCGTCTGGTCTCGATTGCACTGCCTCTTCCAAGTCCAGCATCGTACTGTGTCGGAGCAGCCAATTAATCCAAGTTTTGGCCACCTTGCCCACGTGCCTGATTAGCAAAGATGTGCTCCAGAATAGAGCGCCGCAATTTCATCTTGGAGCCCCACGCAAGTCTCTGTGCATTGTCCCCCCGCAATGTCAGCGCCTCCGCGCCATCTCGAGGATGAGCGTCTGTCTGGCCGTTCTCGTAGCAAATGAAGCGTTCGGGTCCGATTGGCACCGCAGGTACATGAATGATCACCTCCCCCAGCCGTTTCTCCCAAGCAGCCCGATGCCATCGGCCAAGCTCACTGCGGCCCCCTTGACGCAGGCGGGGGGCGCTGGGCCTCCTTGGCGACAAGAACCCCCGCACCCTGGTGGGACGGCCGCCGAGGTGCGATCCCCTTCCCAGGGGGGGTCGCCGGCTGCGCAGCCCACTGCGCGGGAGGGGGTCCCTCCCCGGCATCCCGCGGGATTGCCGTGCCTGGCGTCGTGCTCTCCCCGTCGTGCCGTCGCGCTCGCGGTCGTCGCCCGCCGCTGGTCCGGCGGGCCCGCAGGGCGGCGGCGGATGGACGGGCCTGGCCTTGGCCCGTGCCCGTTCTGCGTGGCGCCGCGTGCAGCGGGGGGCCTGAGGCTCAGGAGGGAAAGAAAACACACAGACAATATATATGGGAAGTGGGGGGGGGGGCGGGGAAAGACGAACACCCAGAACATGTTCGGAAATATGGGGGGATCCTGTTACATGTGTCTATCTATTGAATCGCCTCGCTCACTCCGCCGGCCCGTATTGTGCCCTGGCTGGCGATTTGCCAAAATCCCCCCCAAACCTAAGGAAAAACAATGATTTGTGCCTCTTGGGGCCCTCTTGGGAGTGCTCTTGAAAGCCTCGTGGGGCGCCTGGGGGCTATCTCGAGGGCCTTTGGGGGGCTCTTGGAGGCCTCTTGGGGGGAGGGAGGGTCGTCGATTGCGGCTCCCCCCTGGGAGGCCGCGATCCTCGTCACGGGTATCGAAAAATGGCCCTCCCCTGGAGTGCTCTGGTGGCTCCTCCCGGGACCTTGCCGGGGTACTTTTTGTCCTGAACCGTTTACCGGAGATCTTAGCATGCCTCTGGCCCGTTGGGCCGGCGAATCTGTGTGTCCCTGGGCCCCTTCACGGGCGTTCCAGCGGCGGCCTGCCCGGCTGCTTGTCAGCGCGCAGAGCGCGGCAGGGGAGCCGGCGTGCTTCCCGGCAGGGGGGCCGGCCGGCAGGAGGGAAAAAACACACAGACACAATTAATCGTCGATTCCCCCGAAAATATAGGAAGATATGGGAAGTGTGGTGGTGGGGGGAAACACGAACACCCAGAAAATGTTGGAACATATCGGGAATCGTGTTATTCGTGTCTATTTATTTAATCGCTTCGCTCATTCCGCCGCCCCGTATTGTGCCCTGGCTGGCGATCTGCCAAGATCTCCCCAAAACTTAAAGAAAAAACCATGAATGCTGCCTCATTGGGGCCCTCTTGGGGGTGCTCTTGAAAGCCTCGTGGGGCGTCTGGGGGCTATCTCGAGAGCCTTTTGGGGGCCTCCTGGGGCTTCAAAGGGGCCTCCTGGGGGCTTCTTAGGGCCGAGGGCTCGAAATGTTGTTTCGTGTTCCCCCTTCTGGGGCTTCTCTTAGAGCGTTCTTGGGGCCCTCTTGGGCCGTCTTGGAGGCCTTTTGGGCCGTCTTGGAACCCTCTTGGGCCGTCTTGGGGCCCTGTCGGAGGCCTCTCGGGCCTCTTAGGGCGATCTTGGAGGCCTCTTGGGCCATCTTGGGGCGTCGCGATGCCGAAAAGGTGGAGACGCCAAAATCTCCCCCAAACATAAGGGCAAGCAATACATTTTGCCTCTTGGGGCCCTCTTGGGGGTGCTCTTGAAAGCCTCGTGGGGCGTCAGGGGGCTATCTCGAGGGCCTTTGGGGGGCCTCCTGGGGCTTCAAAGGGGCCTCTTGGAGCCTCCTGGGGGCTTCTTAGGGCCGAGGGCTCGAAATGTTGTTTCGTGTTCCCCCTTCTGGGCTTCTCTTTGGGGCCCTCTTGCGCCGTCTTGGAGGCCTCTTGGGCCGTCTTGGAACCCTCGTGGGCTCTATTGGGGCCCTGTCGGAGGCCTCTCGGGCCTCTGAGGGCGATCTTGGGGGCCTCTTGGGCCGTCTTGGGGCGTCGCGATGCCGAAAAGGTGGAGACGCCAAAATCTCCCCAAAACCTAAGGGCAAGCAATACATTTTGCCTCTTGGGGCCCTCTTGGGAGTGCTCTTGAACGCTTCGTGGGGCGTCTGGGGGCTATCTCGAGGGCCTTTCGGGGGCCTCCTGGGGCTTCAAAGGGGCCTCTTGGCGCCTCCTGGGGGCTTCTTAGGGCCGAGGGCTCGAAATGTTGTTTCGTGTTCCCCCTTCTGGGCTTCTCTTAGAGCATTCTTGGGGCCCTCTTGGGCCGACTTGGAGGCCTGTTGGGCCATCTTGGAACCCTCTTGGGCCGTCTTGGGGCCCTGTCGGAGGCCTCTCGGTCCTCTTAGGGCGATTTGGGGGGCCTCTTGGGCCGTCTTGGGGCGTCGCGATGCCGAAAAGGTGGAGACGCCAACATCTCCCCAAAACCCAAGGACAAACAATGAATTTTGCCTCTTGGGGCCCTCTTGGGAGTGCTCTTGAAAGCGTCGTGGGGCGTCTGGGGGCTATCTCGAGGGCCTTTGGGGGGGGCTCCTGGGGCTTCAAAGGGGCCTCTTGGAGCCTCCTGGGGGCTTCTTAGGGCCGAGGGCTCGAAATGTTGTTTCATGTTCCCCCTTCTGGGCTTCTCTTAGAGCGTTCTTGGGGCCCTCTTGCGCCGTCTTGGAGGCCTCTTGGGCCGTCTTGGAACCCTCGTGGGCTCTATTGGGGCCCTGTCGGAGGCCTCTCGGGCCTCTGAGGGCGATCTTGGGGGCCTCTTGGGCCGTCTTGGGGCGTCGCGATGCCGAAAAGGTGGAGACGCCAAAATCTCCCCCAAACCTAAGGGCAAGCAATACATTTTGCCTCTTGGGGCCCTCTTGGGGGTGCTCTTGAAAGCCTCGTGGGGCGTCTGGGGGCTATCTCGAGGGCCTTTGGGGGGCCTCCTGGGGCTTCAAAGGGGCCTCTTGGCGCCTCCTGGGGCTTCTTAGGGCCGCGGGCTCGAAATGTTGTTTCGTGTTCCCCCTTCTGGGGCTTCTCTTAGATCGTTCTTGGGATCCTCTTGGGCCGTCTTGGAGGCCTTTTGGGCCGTCTTGGGGCGTCGCGATGCCGAAAAGGTAAAAACGACAAAATCTCTCCAAAACCATAAGAAAAACAATGAATTCTGCCTCTTGGGGCCCTCTTGGGAGTCTCTTGGGGCTCCTTGGCGGCGTCTTGGGGGCCCCCAGGGCCTCTTGGGGGGCTCTTGGAGGCCTCTTAGGGAGAGGGGGGGTAGTCGATTGTGGCTCCCCCCTCGGAGGCCGCGATCCTCGTTACTCGTATCGAAAGTGGCCCTCCCTTGGAGTGCTCTGGTGGCTTTTCCCGGGACCTTGCCGGGGTATTTTTTGTCCGGGGACCCCCAGGGGCCGCCCTGCGCGCGCGAACTAGAAATATTGTGAACCAGTTACCGGAGATTTTAGCACGCCTCTGGCCCGTTGGGTCGCCCTCAGGTGTTTGGAGGATCCCGCGCCTGCAGGACAGGAAGCAGAGGCCGAGCGACTCGTCGGCTGCGGCGGAGGGCAAGGCGGCGACCGGTTCGGCCCGCCTTTCCCTCCCCAGGGGTTCGGGGGGCCCCCGAATCCCCCATTGGCAGCGTTGGCCTCGGGGTTTCGGTGAATATCTGCGCCCGCAAGAACAGGGGCGGGGACCGAACGATTCGGCGGCGGTTGCGCGGGGCAACGCGAAACGTTCGCTCCCCCTCTCCCTCCCCGTGGGTCCGGGGGCTCACCGAGGCCCCGAGGGTACGAAACGCTTCATTGCGCCATTGGAAGCGTCGCCTTCCAGGCCCGAAGAAATCAGCGCTCGCGGGCGAGGAAGCCGGGGCCGAATGACTCGGCGGCGGCGGCGGCAGAGGGCAAGGTGACTCGTTCGGCCCGTCTCCCCTTCCCCATGAGTTCCGGGGCCCCCACAGGGCCCCGAGGTCACTAAATGTTTGTTTTGGAAGTGTGTCCCTCGGGGGCCTGGGGGATCCCGCACCCGCGGGAACGGAAGCGGGGACCGAACGACTCGGCGGCGGCGGCGGGGGGCAAGGCGACCCGCTCGGCCACGCCATCCCCCCCCATGGGCTCGTGGGCCCCCCGAAATCTTGAAGGCACGAAACGCTTCCATTGGAAGCGTCGCCCTCAGGTGTTTGGCGAACCCCTGCGGGCCGAACGGCTCGGCGGTCGCTGAGGGCAAGGTGACTGGTTCGGCCACCCTCTCCCTCCCCATGGGTACGGAGGCCCCCCGAACCCCCGAGGGCACGAAACGTTTCCACTGGAAGCGCGCCCTTCGGGGGCCCGGAGAATCCTGCGCCCGCGGGGAATAAAGCGGGGACCGAACGATTCGGCGGCGGTGGCGGGGGGCAAGGTGACTCGGTCGGCCCGCCGGTCCCTCCCCACGGGCTCGGGGGCCGCCGGAATCACCGAGGGCTCGAAACGCTTCCATTGGACCGTCGCCCGCGGGGGCTGGAGAACCCGCGCCCGCGGGAAAGGAAACGGGGGCCGAACGATTTGGCGGCGGCGGAAAGCAAGGCGACTCGTTCGGCCACGCTCTCCTTCCCGATGGGCCCCCGAATGCACGAAACGCTTCCATTGGAAGCGTCGCCCCCGTGGGTTTGGAAAAACTTGCGCCCGCGGGAAGGGAGTCGGGGGCCGAACAACTCGACGGCGGCGGCGGAAGGCCAGGTGATTCTTTTTGGTGCGGACGCTTTTGGGCAAGGTGCTTTGGACGCCCGAATTAGGCACGGAAAAGATGGGAACGATGCCCAACAACAAATGTCGTCCAAAACCGAGAGCAGTCGTAGTTCTGCAGGCTGCGTTCTGTTTCAAATTTACAACGTCCACGGCGACACCGATAGCGAGTCCTGTTCAACATGATCAGGACATGCTGTCGGTTGTCGTTCCCATTTTTTCTGTATCCATTACGGTCGTATCGAACAACGAAAACTCTGCCCGCCCTGCTGGCGCAACGTCCACCGGCCCGCGCGCCCCACCCACCTCCATCCGCTGGGGTTGGGCAAATCCGCATTCGCGCCCGCGGCGCGTCGCGGGCGCGTGAAAATGGACATGCCGCAGTGGGCCCCAAGCAGCAAGTTGAGCACCGCAGTGCAAGCCATCCCGGGCCGCGCGAGGGCCGCTAAGGAGCCTTTAAGAAAGGCCCGAGGAGCCACTGAGGATCCGCCAAGGATCCGTTAGCGATCTTCTCTAATTTTTCAAGAACTGTTAAGGAACCTCTGAGAAACCCTCAAGAAGCTTGCAGAACGATTGTAATTGGTACCGGTTGGTTGGGATTGGTACAAAAATGGTTGGAAGCCGTCCTGGTGGGTCAGAATGTGTCCCATTTTCGGTGCCCCCCACCCGCATACGAGAACTCAAAGCTGACTATCCTCCTGCTCCTCCTGCTCCTCCTGCTCCTCCTCCTCCTGTTCTTCCCTCTTTTCCACCTCCTCTTCCTCCTCCCCTCATCATCATCACCACGAGCGTCATCATCACCATCACCCTCACCATCACAATAGTCATCAGCGTCGTGATCATCAGCATCATCATCATCACCATCACCATCGTCATCACCATCATGACAGCCTCTGGGACGCCCAACAAAGTGCAGCACTTCGCTGCGGCCTCGAACGCCACTGTAGAGGCGGGGGCCTTGAGGCCCACTTCGGGGCGCACCAGGGGCAGGTTTTCGCGCACACCGCGGCCAGAAGCTTGGCCGCTGCGACACCTCACTGGGGGATTACGTCGATCTGAGAGTCGCTTACGCCTCCCCAGAAGCAGGCCGGGCTCGCGGGCCGCTGGCGCGAGCGAGTCGGCAGAGCAGGACCACCGCGTCGAGTAGTGCGGCGCGGCGCGTGCTGGCGTGGCCTCCTGGCGAGGCCGCCTGCAGCGGCTGCGGCTAAAAGGAGCGGGTGCGCGTGGTGGTGGGAATGAGGAATGAGGAGGAGGTGGAGGAGGAGGAGGAAGAGGAGGAGGAGGAGGAGGAAAAGGAAGAAGATGAGGAGGAGGAGGAGAAGGGGGGGGAGGGGGAGGAGGGTCGGGTCGGGAGGTCCGAGGCGCGCTAATATTTGTTTGCGCGCGTCCACCGCCGTGTCGTCCTCATTGGGAGTTCGAACAGGACAGGGGGAGGAGAAGGTCGAAGAAGAAAAAAAAAAAAATGTATACACAGAAACTTCCGACGCTCCGCGCGGACAGACGAATGTTTATGTTTGTTCAGTGTTTGATTCCTCGATGGAGGAGGATGAGAGCAAACGAGCTCGGAGGTGATGCAGAGTTCGCGGCAGGAGGCCAGGCAGATTGAGCAAACGATACAAGGAGGGGGATCACGTTGCCCCTCGGCTGCGGTGAGCTCTCCTTGCCCGGAGGGCGCTGACATGCCCCCACCTCGGTGGCACCGCGGCTCGTTCGGCGATAAACCTCCAAAATGGGGGCCTAGTAGACGGGGTCGAAGGATCGCTGCGCATCGACGATGCATCGACGATGCGGCTCGATGATGAGCCAGAGGTTCTCCACGCCGATGGCACCTTTGCATCGCGGACGTCGCTGATGCATCGGCGATGCGTTGGCGATGCGGCGCGATCCTGCGACCCTATCTACTCGGACCCCATTTAGGAGGCCTCTAGTCTAAGAGGGGAGGTGATCGTTACGTGATACCTAACCCCGAGCTCAACCGTTGGGTCTTTGTGTTCGAGGTCGTCGCGGCGACCGCGGCGACCAGAAATCGGGAAAGGCTATTGTCAAGGAGTGGCATGCCCCTTCCAAGACCCCCCCCCCCGCTCTGCGACGCAGACTTGGCCAATCACTAACAATGTAGCGGCAGGTAGTGGTCAACTTATGTCCAACATGGGCATGTCTGGGTTCGGGGTCGATTATCGCGCATTCAGATTCGGACTACCGCAGGTACGTCAAATAAGAATCAGGAGGGAAACAAAAACACACAGACACAATCAATCGACGATTCCAGCGAAAACATGGGAAAATATGGGAAGTCGGGGGGGAAGACAAACACCCAAAAAGTATCGGAAAATAGTGGGAATCCTATTATGTGTGTGTGTGTGTGTGTTTATGTGTGTGTGTGTGTCCCAGGGTCCCTGCGAAGGAGTTGGCCTGCCGAAGGGTGCCCCGCGATAGCTTCTCGTTTCCAGGCGGGACCGCAGAGCCCCTGGGCGCCCTGCGAGGCCCAGCGTCGGCGAACCACGTGCCCCGGGCTGTCTGATCACAACGATTGTGTTGGCCCGTGCTGTGTTTGTGCGTGTGGATGTCATTGCCAGGGCCATGGTGTGTGTATGTGTGTGTTGTGTGGTGTGCGTGTGTTGTGTGTGTTGTGTGTCGTGTGTGTTGTGGGTTGTGCTGTGCGTTTGTGTAATGCGTGTTGCACAGGTTGTTTGTGCTATGTGTGCTGTGTGTTGTGTGTTGTGTGGTGTGTGTATTGCGTCTGTGTGAGTCTGTGTGTGCTGTGCGTGTTGTGTGTTGTGTGTGTCGTGTGTAATGCGTATGCGTGTGGATGTCATTGCCAGGGCCACGGTGTGTATGTATGGTGTGTGTTGTGTGTTGTGCTTGCTGTGTGGTTGTGTGTGTTGTGTGTGTTGTGTGTTGTGTGTGTTGTGTGTTGTGTGTTTTGTGTGTTGTGTGTGTGTGTGTTGTGTGTGGTGTGTGTTGTGTGTTGTGTGCGTGTGTGTGTGTGTCTATGTGCGTGCCCGTGTGAGTATGTGTGGGTGTGTGTTGTGTATGTCGTACCATGTGTGTGTGTGTGTGTTTTGCTTGTGCGTGTGGATGTTGTGTATGTGTATGTGACTATGTGTGTTGTGTGTGTTGTGTGTGTTGTGTGTTGTGTGTGTTGTGTGTGTTGTGTGTTGTGTGCTGTGTGTGTTGTGTGTGTGTTGTGTGTTGTGCGTGTTGTGTGTGAAGTGTGAGGTTGTGCTGTGTGTGTGTCGTGTGTGTGTGTGTGTGTTGTGTGTCGTGTGTGTGCGTGTGGATGTCATTTCTGGGGCCACGGCGTTGCCTCCCAGACTTCACGGCACCCTTCTTTTCTTTGAGCGCGTCCTTTGCTCCCCCCTCGGTTCGCGCACATGCCTCGGGCCATGATGCGGCCCCCCCCTTCTTTCGAAGTCACCCGCCAGGCCGCGAAGATAATCAAGCTTCGCGCGTCGCCGGCTGAGCCAGAGCGGTCGCCTTTTTTCCAAGAGGAGCGGCGCGAGGGCGCGAAGGCGCAAAGACGACCACGCGTCGCGCACGGCGGGGCGCGATGCGCGACGTCGATTGTCCTAGCCTCCAGTCGGGCGTGTCCCTCTACAGGAGGAAGATCCAGAAATAGTCAAAACATAGCCTGGAGACGATGTTCCGACTAGGTTTTCGTCATGCTTGAATGTGTTTTGGCTATGTTTTGTTTTTCCTCCAAAATTCGCATGCAGGGGGACATGCCCGACCTAAGCCCATGCCAAGGAACACCCTGCTTGCCTCCAGGGTGCCCTGGGTTTCTTGGGTGTCGATGGTCTTGCGATGGAAAGCGTGACGCTCCCACACCAACACCGAAAATCCATGGACGTCC